TCTCTCTCTCTCTCTCTCTCTCTCTCTCTCTCTCTCTCTCTCTCTCTCTCTTTCACTCTAATATTTGGAATGCATTTCAAAAATTCATCCACACATAAACTCGCACTTATAATTCGCGCTTTAAGTCATTCCCACCGACGTCACAACAACCACACAATGTGGAAGTTCGGAACACCGTATATCCGGTGAACTGTTTGATTTCGAACCATTTCGACTGTGTGTTGTACCTTTTTTTTATCATCATCGTGTGTATAATAATTTTCAGTTGTTTCCACAACAATGCGTGTTTTTTTTTCGTCTCGTTTGTGATACAAAGCGAAGAGCATATATTTTTAAATGTGTTTTATATATAGTTGCGGTCGTACTTAAAAAAGAGAACAGAATTGTACGTAGAGATCATCATTGCTTGCACATTGCATGATTTTGAAGTGTTCTTTTTTTGATGAAGGTGATGATGGCACAGTCATTATTTCACAACTTCAAGCACAGACACCCAGACAAATACAGGATACAAAACTACTAATTGACTCACATTCGATGTACGTGCAATGTTGCCAATGTTGGCGTTGTTCAGGCAACAACATAAATGATGTTGTGTGTTTTACACTTTTATCGTTGTCATTTGTTTTCGTTCTTCGCGTGTGAACAATTAATACGATTTTTACACTTTTTCGCACCATTACCTCGATCGGCCTTGGACAAAGATGAATGTTTTTTTTATTTTCTCGCTGGTTTGGTTCAGATTTGTTGCCGAGCTCAATACTTTTTATTATTTTGAAAAGTAAAATAAAAACATTTTAATTGCTTGCCATTGTTAAAACATTAATTTATGATTATTATTCATTTTTCGATGGCAACATTTTATCTGAAACGGAAAAAAAAGAAAGAATTTATCAACCTCAATTCTCATTAACGACACATATTTTACAAACAGATTAAAATGTGACTGAAAACTGACACATGCACGGCAAAGGACAAAATTCATATTTATTTTTGTCGAATAAAATTGAGGTTTTTTTTTTTCTCTTTCACTTTGTTTTGCTGTTATTTTTTTCACCTTTTTGGTCTTCGATCCGCATTAATGGACAAAAATTCATATTGTTCGCCTATTCTCTTTGTGGAAAAAAGGGATAAAGTTCCATTTTTCTCCGTGTTTCACACGTTTTTCCACTTAAAAAAAGAGTCATTCCTTCCTCATTCCATTAGTATTCGTATTATTATTCGACGTTTTGGAGGTTGAGTGGGGGGAAAGATGAAAAGAGAAATAGTGAGAGTAAAGCGAGAATGAAGGAGAAAGGGAAATACTTCAGATAATAAGTCAAGTTTGATTCCCATTTTAAAAGTGGACTTGTGTCGAAAATATGAAAGGCCAGACGATAAATTTCAAAACCGTATGACACACTGGGTAAATAGAAACAACAGAGAGAAATAGAGAATAAAACACTTGAAGCAAGCACATCCAAATATTTGCACGCATTTCGAGTTGATATGATTCTTTGGTCCATTAAAATATAAATATGATGAAGACGAAACGAAGCGGAACGAAAGAAGGGAAATAAAGAAATGCGTTGATAACGAATGCTATGCGTGAGAGAAAGAACATTTTTTGAAAAGGGAGCTCGAAGGAAGAAAAACGGGATAATATTCGTTTACATATGACGAACCGTAAATAAGAATTTGCAACCAAGTCGTTGTGAAATATGGCACAGACAAAACCAAATTTGACCGACAGCAAGTTGAAAAGGGAAATATCGAATTTTGAATGGAGTAAATTTCGTAAGAAAACAAGGAAGACCCAGATTAATTTTATCATTGTGCCCGGAGTGAGCGAGAGAAAGAGAGATTGAAGGAATATCACCGATACCAATTTGGCCATTTTTGACTATTTGACTTGAACAAGCAACAACATTCCAGTGCACATTTGATCCGTACATTGTTCCATTTGAAATTCAACATTATTCCCCCGTCATCCGATCAACGAATGAAATTTGATACAAAACCAACAACAATTCCGCATTTGGTTTGGTTCTATTTTTTTTTCGGGTGTGATATCTTGACACATGTAGAGTGCTATAGTATTTTTGTGATAAAGAAACAAGCGAGGAAAAAGTCCTCGATACATTCACGCAAAACGCAACACATATATATATATACGATTTTGCTTCGTTGTCGAAACAAAAACAAGCATAAACTGATTTTATGTCCGAATAATTAAATGCACATATTTATGTTTGCATTGAAATGTTCGTTTCAGTCGCTCTTTCTCTGTAAATGCGAATATGTACTGGCAAAGGTCAGAGTGATTTTCACAGAAATGAGAATGATATCCATGTGTTGTATGTTACGTATGTGTGTGCGCCATGCTAACTGAATTGAAAATAAATGGATTTGTTGTGTGGAATTTTGTGTCTAACGTGTATTAAACGTGTAGAAATTGGATCTTTCTCTCTAGCTTCGGACGAAAGGAAATTGCATAAAATAAACACTTAAATAAAGTCCAACATCGAAAAATAAGAGAATGAGAGACACTAATGCATTCACTTAAAGCGATAAGCGTGTTGCCCCGTTGCGTACACGAGCAAACACATCTTATCAAAGCGGATGCAGCAGCAGTAACAACAGCAACAGCGGCATCGAGCACAAAAATCCCGAAACGAAATGAAATGTTATTCATAAATAAGGTCAAACGGTGTTTGTGTGTGTGTTGCAATCTTGAATGCATTAACCTTAACACCCATATCACATAAAGATGCCCAAACAGAAAACATCCCAGTCACAACATACCAGGTTTTTCAACCGAACAAAAAAACAGAACGAAAATATTATTGCACGGCAGTTGGGCAGATGCCAACTCTTTTTTTCCCCATTTGCCTCTGTCTTTCGTTTGCCTCATTTCAATTCATTTAAGAATGGTGAAACGCTCTCGCGTTTCACATTACAATGCGCTCAACCGACAAACTATGATACACAGAAACCAGAAACGGCCTTCTAGCATAAACGATGATGCTAAGAGCATACATGACACACAGCCCAACCAAATATACGAATCATGAATACGGAATGCATTTCGGATATTATGCGCCCACACTTCATATTTTGCTCTTCATAAATAACAGCAGCGAATGCTGCAGAAAAAAAAAATAACATCATTTGGACCCGGCAAATAACATCACACAGTCATATTTTTCATCTTTGTTGCTCTCGCTGTCTCCTACCATTTGTCCATACGCTGACCAAAGGCGTATTCTTTTTGCGAATTGGTTGGCGTGAGTGGCATTTTTCTCTCATTTTTTTTTAAAAAACGAATTAAGGGACTTTTTTCTCGTATTGCAAATGCACACACAAATGTATTATTGTCAATGGTCATGCCATATATGAACAAGGTGCACGCTTCGCAACTAGATGATCTAAAAATTTGACGAATATTTTTTTTTTGCTCGCTGTTGCTTATCTTGTTCCATTTATTTATTTTTCGCTGATAGTCGAGTGTAGATCGTTCACAATTTTGTGCACTGTTTCCACATGTTGTACTTTTGTTTCAATTTCGTGTCTCGCAATATTGCCATATTTGTGTCGCATTTGGTCAAAGAAAAGACTGGCGAACATAAAAAAAATATTCATGATAAACGTGATCAGTAGCAGAGAGTAAGAGAAGTGGAGAAAAAATGCGCACACAATGAAACATGCAAATAGAATATTATAGCATCAAAATTGATAGTCTCGCTACTTTTTTGCTCCTCACGTTTGCACACGCGAATCAAGCCGAGTGAAAACAGAACGAATAGCGCGCGAGAAAAAAAAGAAATAATGTGTAATGAGAACAAGAGCCGAATTATGCACGCGCAATCGTTTTTTTTTCTATTCATATTCTTGTTATCTTGGTTTTGGTTCTCGCGCCACATATATTTATAGAATTTTCATATCGCATATTCCACCAACTACACCACCACCACTACCGACGACAACAGCAACAACGACAACAAACACACGAAATCGAACTGTTAACCGTGCTCAAGTGTTCGAATGCTATCTCTTTCATTTCTTTATATTTCCGTACGGTG